CCCCCTGTACAATATTTTTTTTTTTCCTGGATTTTTTTTTCCGCTGGAATTCTCTTTATTATTTCCTGCAAAGATTCTTCAACCCCCCCCCCCCCCCCCCCCCCCCCCCAATATATACTTCTTGTGGAATTTTGATCCCATAGGTTGGTGGGCAGTTGATTTTTTTGTGGGAAAGTGCACACATTCAATGAAGCATGAAGTTGAATGAACATTGAACACACTAACTGTTCACTGATTTTAATCATCTGATATACTCAATGCACACAGCACATCAATGACCAGCACTGTGCACTGCACATCGCTGTGCAGTTTTGTGTGGTCGGTTGTTTATATGATTAATTTGTCCTCAACACTGCCAAAAAAAATAGCGGTCCTACCATAGCGCTACAGCGCGGTGTCGGAGGGCGTGGTGTCCCGGCCCTCCGCGGGTACCAGCCACACTCTATTTCTCGTGCCCCATATCGTACTTGGCGCTTCGCCTCTCAGTAATGTACCAAACTTGCCTAGGTCGTTTCTGGATCGATCCAATGGGCGCCTCTACAGCAAAAGGGGTGGGGGTACACCATAGGATTTCCCATAGGTCCACTCAGGCTCGGCACTCCGCTGTACTGACTACCGGCCTGCGGTTGTTGTCATCCAGGGACGTGAGGATAGTAGGTCGGCACAGCGTTCCTTACTGCGTATCAATCCCCCTTTTTGTCGGATTGTGCGTAGGCCAGGTGGTCGCAATCGAGTAAGGAGTGAGAACAAGGAAAAGAAAAGGGAAAATTTAAAGAAAAGGAAAGGGAAAGCAAGAAAAGACATGTAGCAAGTCCGCACCCTGATTTGAATCGTTACTTTCATTTGAGTTATCTAAGTGGGGCCAGGATGCAGCGGCGCTACGTTTCTTCTTATGTTTTCTTTTTCTGATTATTATTATTATTATTATTATTATTATTATTATTATTTATTTTATTTTTTTGGGAATTCTTCCCTTCTATATTCTTCTCTCAACTTCTTGCCTTTCACTACCTACCTACTCCTAAGGCTATCTATAGGGGACCCCTGCAAGCATAGCTACCTCTCACTGTGAAGGGGATATTGCATGTTGCCCCTTGCCCTAGTGGTTAAGGGTGTAGGGTTCGGGCCGCCAGTGGGGGTCTGGCTAACGCAAAGACCGAGACCTGCCAGTAGCTGCGCCTCCCTTTCTCATCGTCCCCCACCCCTCATCGAGTAGCAGCAGTGGCTATGGCCAACACTCTCCCACACACCACACACAACCCACTTGCGCTCGCACTCACACCCATGTTGGTCATAGACTCCACTAATACCGATCAGGGGTATCCAGAGGACTATCACAGTCCATTGGCACTAAGTGCACCACAGGCGGTCATGGGGCTTGAACCCACAACCTCCTGAATGCCACTTGCGTGCCTAACCAACTGAGCTAGGCTGCTGGATTATTATTACCATTGTTACTATTGGGAACTTTATCTTTTGTCTTCCGTTGCTTCGCAGGAGAACGGACAGCCGATGCTAAGATCTCGCATGAGCAGGGTTTAATTATTCGACTTCTCGCATTCCGATTGCTGCCGGTCTGCTATAAAGTAGACCCCAAAAGAGGGGTAACCCGTGGCCGCTTCGGTAGGAAGCCTATCACATCCCCGGTGGGAGGTCATAGGCCCCCTCCTTGCCATCGGAGACGGGTACCCATTAGTGGTAGCCCGCAAGTGCTCTACGAAGAAAATGAAGTGTCAGGCGGTATCCCGTTATGGGACCGCTGAGCGCTGGACTGATAGTCTTTTCAAACAAAGTTGAAAAGACAGAAAGATGCAGACTGAGGAGTCGTGTTCGTGCAGTGACCGTTGAAGTGCTGGACCAAATTCTGAATATTACTGCCAAAAGAGAATGGACATATATATCGTCACAAATAGAATATATATCGTCACAAACAGAACTGCCCGGTAAAACCGTAGGTATATATACTGTCTCTTATACACATCTAGATGTGTATAAGAGACAGTGCATATATAATCAAATACATATTTCTGAATAATCGACTATTAAATGGGAAGTGTTGGAGAAATTATGGTGACCCTCATTCTGTACACAGGGAGAGCGGCACCCATGGGCGCTATAAAAAGAGTGGTCATTGGGTTTCCGGGTTACCGGTCAGTGGGTGCATTTGAGCTTGTATCCTTGACTCGCCGCTCCGTGGGCTGGAATAGCGGCGCCGCGTCCAAGCTAGACTGTCTGTGTCTAGTTAGCAAGTTCCTGGCACGGGCTGTGTGAGTGGGGGAGCAGAGAGTTAGTAGTGGTTTTGGCTATTGGAGGGTGGCCGGCTATGGCCCTGCACGGCTATAGGCCAGACTGTTGGAACCTCCTGACTCGTTGGAGGCCAATGTCTGGGGAAGGGCCTTGGATCACCGCATGCTCGACTACGATGGGGGGGACGAGGTCAAGTTGAAAATTAACGTGGAGGGAGCTAGGGAAGAAGAGATGAGGGCTAATCCAAAGTTGCAGGCGGCAGTCACGAAGGCCAAGGACCGCGCAAAGAGACACTGCAGAAGGGACGGCGTGACCGCGGAAATGCGGGTAACAGGGCATATCATGAGGCTGAGACCTCTACTGATACGGTGGACCGAGAGCAAGCCCACCTGGACAGGGATTCTGGGGTTGAGAGCGAGATGAGCGAAGCAGAGACGCTGTCGTGGCATGGTCGGGAGCAGTGGCGGCGGGACCACCTGGCCGCTGAGCCTGTGGAGGATGGACCTGAGGCCAGCTCGCGACAGTGACAAAAAAAATTGGCGGGATGGTTAGAACGGGGGACAGGCAAAGCACACACGAGCACGTGGGTGAGTGACGCGCATGACGAGTACGCTCAAGAGTGCAAGGGGAAGAGGCTCAGAGGTCAACGCATGTCGGTGTGGTTCCTGGGTGATCAGGCGGACAATATCCTATCGATGGCACGAATGTGGGACCTGGTCACGAGAGATAGTCGCCACTTATCTAACTTGTGCAGTGCAAAGAGAGAGAAGGCGAGAGAGGGGAGACACAGAAGTCAGACGAGACATGCGCTCCGGGGAGTTGAGCTATGAGCAGCTCGTTCTCTCGCTGTTCTTCGAACGCCAGTCACTCACGCGAGAATTTGGATGAGAGATAGTCATCTCCTACCTGTGACTTGGGTAGTGCATCGAAGGGGGATGTCGATTCGCCCTCTGGAGACGGGAGATCTGACACATCGAGTTCGTGAGAGAGCGGGATCATTGGGTGAGTAAGCCTGCAGGAGACATTCCGGGGGTCATTCCCGGGAAGGCAGCGCGGCTAGGCTCGCAAGAGAGTGGTGGACAAGCTGCTGCTATGATCAGACCAGTCTGGCGGAATTTAGCGGCCTCGATCTGAGTGACATTGAAAAGTCGTGCCCGGCCGGGCGGACCCCAGCCGGTTGGGCCCGGGGGGGTCCGCCCGGCTGAACCGGGCGACGCAAAAACATGGCAAGGAATTTTATTTTATTTTTTCCCGAAGGTAGGGCTGTGCTGCGCTGCACTAGAGGACCCCGAATCTGCAATAAAAAAGTAAATTGGGGGTTGGG